AAAACTAGAGGAGCTCCTTTCTCAAAGAGATTTCACTGGAGCTATTACCCTGCTGGAGGTAATGTCCAAAGAAGCTTGCTTCTTAGGAAGTGAATACCAGAATACAGATGATTGCTTGGGTGAATGCTGGTCCCTCTGCTGTTGAACAGGCGGGTGTATTCTGGAGCTTTTTCAAGGAACCCCTTGTAAACCTTGGCTTTACACTGGCTGCACCAATGGGTTCAAACACGGCAACGGTTGTGAGGATGGCGCAGGACCAGGCAATACTTTGTTCTGTTATACATGGGGTCACTGAGTCGGAGCTGACTCGTCGGCACCTGATAACAACTTGTAAATCTAGTCAGGTGCAGTCACCAAACTGATTAAAGATGAACTAAAATGATTTTTTCAGGAGTATTTATGACTGTGTCTACTGCAGCTGATGAAGAATCCAACCTAAAAATATAGAGGGGCATTTAATACAGTGTCAGTTCACATATTGTTTATCCCAACCCCTGCCAATTTAAGACTTATTCCTATTTATGTGTTATAAATTTTTGGTCAAATTTAAATATTTCTACCATGCTTATTGTTTAAACAATTGTACCCTCTGAAAACATTTCACATCTATGTGGCAGTAGTTCTCAACCTTTAATACATGTCAGAATCATCTAGATTCCTGGGCTCTTGCTCTAGGGATTCTGATTCCTGAGGTCTGTAGCAGTGCTCAGGAATCTGCATTTTACGTAGCCTGTGTGCTTCCGAGGGCATCATCCCAGGAGACTGCGCTTAGAGAACTGCTCTGTGGAAGGGACGTGTTACAGGAGTGTGAAGAGGTGTGGCAGAGGAGGAGGAGTTTTGACAGCGTGGTTATGCAGTCATTTCTGCACCGCACACGCCTGCCTTATCCTGACTCAACAGTAATTGTTTTCATTAGCTGTACATGTGTTTTTCTGTTGCCGACGTATAGTCCTATATTTCTGATTAGTGCTCTTGTGTTAAACACATTGTTTAATCTCTCCGGTGTCAGTCTTCTCATTTTTAAAGTGCGAGAGTTGACTTCAGAGGGCCTTCTAGCTCTGCAGGTCAGGGGGCCGAGTGCTCTGTAGATGTCTATGTTTTGTCGGTTTCTGTTTTCCTCTGTTTCTCTAAGGCAGGGGCCACATTTCCCTTGCTGTGTTGTCCTAGACCGACTTAGTGGGCAGGGAGACTCTGCCCTGGACTCACCTTCCCAGGTAGCCAGTGGCACTGCCAGGCTATGAAAGGGAACTGCTGTGGTTTGGGGTGAGGACCTCTCAGGAGCTCTCCTGGGGCTTCAGGGAGTTTCTGGGGCAAATTCAAGGAGACCTCAAATAAGAACGTCTCCAGACTTAAGTCACTGTGCTCAAATTCGTAGTATTTGGTGATAGAATTTCTTTTTTTTTTTTGTATTGTACTTTAGATAAAGGTTTACAGAGCAAATTAGTTTCTCAGTAAACAATTAATACACATGTTGTTTTGTAACATTGGTTGCCAATTCTATGACATGTCAACACTCTCCCCTTTTCAACCTTGGGTTCCCCGTTACCAGCTTTCCTGTCCCCTCCTGCCTTCTCGTCCTTGCCCCTGGGCTGGTGTGCCCATTTAGTCTTGTTTTGCTTTATGGGCCTGTCTGAAGGGTGAACCTTTGGCTGAAGGGTGAACCTTATGAGTGACTTCATTACTGAGTTAAAAGAGTGTCCAAGAGCCATACTCTTGGGGTTTCTCCAGTCTCTGTCAGACCAGTAAGTCTGGTCTTTTTTTGTGAGTTTGAATTTTGTTCTCCATTTTTCTCCAGCTCTGTCCAGGACCCTCTATTGTGATCCCTGTCAGAGCAGTGGGTGGTGGTAGCCGGGCACCATGTAGCTGCACTGGACTCAGTCTGGTGGAGGCCATGGTAGTTGTGGTCTATTAGTCCTTTGGGCTAATCTTTCCCTTGTGTCTTTGGTTTTCTTCATTCTCCTGGTGATAGGATTTCTAACGTGGAGTTGGCTATAGCAATAAGTTCTTAGTATCAAAGGGGTGTCTTCTTCATGAACTGGTGGAGGCACCTGAATTCTGCAGTGATGCTCTGTAAAGATGTGTGGCTCAGTATTTCATTTTTCACCCATGCTTTTCAGTTATCACCCTGCAGAGTGAAAAATCTCACCTCCATGGCAGTTCAGGCTCCTCCTTCAAGGTCTCCTTCCCTCCAAAACAGGACTTCTTTTGTTGAGTCTGAGGAATCCATAAATATTTTTTCAGGATGGACATAAATGAGGCTAGTCTTCTGCACATCCTTAACTCTTGCAGGCCTGGTAGGCCAGCCTGTTCAAGGGTAATGGAGTGGTTTAATGACTTGTCCTCAGTGAAAAGCTGTAACCTAGGAATAAAGAATGTTTGTGCCAGCGGGGCAGGATGGCAGAGTGAGGGTGAGTGCAGCAGAGCATGGAGGGAGAGGGCCTGGGCTCTGCAGTCAGACCCTAAAGTGAGCCTCCCTGCCACCCCACTGCCGGCTGTGTGGCCTTGAGCTTATTGCACAGTCTCTCAAACCTTCAGTCATTTAGCATTAAATATCTCATGTAATTTTTCTGCTCCTTACCTATCACCTAGATTGTTATGAGGGTAACTCCTGAATACTTTCTGGAGTAAGGTGTAAGTAAATACAGAAAACTAGATGCACAGTATTTGAAAATATAAATTTTTTTGATAATTTTGCCTGGTCCTGTAGGTGTAAGTTTAATTGAAATGAGTATTGTTTTACTTGTATTACTGACAATTTCATATCGTTCATCAATAAATTAACATAGAATATTTAAAAACAGTCCCTATTTTTAAATAAGAATTTTAAGAAACGTGTTTTTGAAACAGTTGGAAGTGTTCTATGGTTTTTTTTTTTTTTTCATGAATTTTTAATCTGAAGTTCAAGCGTCATGTTGGGGAGCAAGAGGAGGACACTAACTTGTGGATTGGGTACTGCGCCTTCCACCTGGGTGACTACAAAAGAGCTCTGGAGGTGAGTAAGTCCGTTTAACAGACGCATGCTTACAGAGTGATCAAACTTCTATTGCAGTGATATGCACTCATGGTAAAATTCAAACAACATAGACAGAAACAGATAAAAACTAAAAAAGTCACCCTACCTGCCTTCCCAGTCGTACCTCTCTGTAACAGAACAACCACAGTTCACAGTTTTTGTGATTATTGCTTTAAAAGTCCTCTCTATATTCAAGTATATCTTGTTTGCTTTTTGCTTGTATGCGTATACTGATGAGATTGCAGAGCATATTAAGTAAATCTTTAAGTAAATCTTCAGGAGAGGAAAAATAAGCCATTTTAAACAGTTTTATTGAGGTAAAATATACATAATAAAAATTTGTCATTTTAACTGTTTTTTAAGTATACAGTTGAGTGACATTAATTACATTTTGTACACCCATCATCACTGTCTATTTCCAGTCCCTTTTCCACCACCCCAAACAGAGATTCAGTACCCCTTCAGCAGTAACTCCCATTCCTTCCTCCCTCAGCCTCGGGCAACCTCTAACAAACTCTGGTCTTTGTGCATTTGCCGGTTGTAGATATTTCATGTAAGTGGGATCCTGCAGTGTTTGTTCTTTTGTGTCTGACACATTTCATTCAGCATAATGTTTTCACAGTTCATCCATGTCCTGGATAGCATGTATCAGAGTTCATTTCTCTTAGGGTTAAAAAAAAAAGCCATTTTAGTAAGAACTTTCATGAGTCTTTTCTCAAAAGAAGTTCATTTTTACTTTGCTTGGTTATTTCTTGACATGGGAAAGTTTATATTGTCTTTATATTTTTGCAAGTACCATTGTTTTAGAAATTATTTTTTCCTGGTCATTGTAAACCCTACCCATCTACGATGATCAATCTGTAAGATTATGGATCCAAGTCTAGGTAAAATTATAAATGCCCTCTGTCAAGCAATTTTTAATTCATAAGTGAAATTGTTTAAACATTTTCCAATACTTTTACTCCCAAAATGCAATCTAAGGATAGTTGAACAATCCTTTTCAGGCATAGAAGGGCGGAGGGGCTTGCAATAGTCCCTAAGTATCAAGTTGTCTGATTTCAGGGAGAAATCCTGTTCTGTTATAAAAGAATGACCCATTGATTGCTTTACTGTAAAAATGAGATCACTGCTGAATACGTATTTCAGGAATACGAAAATGCGACAAAAGAGGAAACCTGCAATCCTGAAGTCTGGGTGAACCTGGCCTGTACCTATTTCTTTCTCGGGATGTATAAGCAAGCTGAAGCAGCTGGATTTAAAGGTGAAATGGGCCTTCTTAATATCTGATATTCTTCACTCATAGTAACAGTCATTTTGGAGGGTTTCAAACAATTCATTTCTTTTCCTATTGAGAAAAAAACAGGTAACATTAGAAAGCTTAAAAAATAGCTTTCTTCTTCAAAGAATATTGGATTTGAGCGACTTGATGTGTAAAGAGAGAGTTAAGCCCCCCACCCCCACCCCGAAGCAGCAGTCAAAAAGGAGAGTGTCCAAGAGCCATACTCTCGGGGTTTTTCCAGTCTCTGTCAGACCAGTAAGTCCGGTCTTTTTTTGTGAGTTAGAATTTTGTTCTCCGCTTTTCTCCAGCTCCGTCCAGACCCTCCATTGTGAGAAGGATGAGAGAGGGAAAAGGACAAGGCCTCTTCCTTAGGCCCCGTGGTAGTGCGAGCCTCGCGCTGCGGGCAGGAAGTGGGTGTAGCTGTCCAGGCTCTGGGATCTGTGATTTTAATAGCTGCTTGCCCCGCCTCTGAGCAGGAAGCCCAGTAATTTCAACCTCAAGAAGCCAGACTTCTGCTTTCTTGTTACGCCAGTCATGTCAGGATAACTGCCCCATAGGGTTTCCAGTGCTGTGATCTTTACAGAAGCCACGTCTTTCTCCCACGGAGTGACTGGTAGGCAAGTAAGAGCAGGGCAAAGGGAAAACATGGGAGAAAAGAGTAAGGACAGTGAGAGCGTGAGTCAAAGAAAACTGCAGGGAGTGTAGACAAGGGGGTGTTTGTTCAGGGAGAAGTCAGAGTTAACTGACAGATACATATTTGGAAAATATTTCAGCCCAAATCCATGGAAAATGTAGAACTTGAAGGCTTCCTTCATTTGTACACAAATTGTTTCATATGTACTAGTGTAATTTTTCCTAATTTAATTTTAAGATTCTTTAAGTTACTTTATCTCACATTCCTGAGACTGTATTTTGCATAAAACAATGTTAGACACATGGATGGTGATATATCTATCAAGATATCTATTTCTCTTTCCATATATATTTTTTTCTTTTTTATAGGTTGGAGTATGACTTTTTGTTGTAAAAGAGATATGGGATTGGACGTCCAGAATTAGGAAAATGCTCTAAGAGTGTGAAGGGGATTTGGAAGTTGAACGGTGTTATCCTCTTTGCTTGGTGACCTGTGGCAGATTGTCATAGTAGACGATCTACGGGGTAGAGGCTGGGCTAGTCTTTAGGAAAAGATGGTAGTGCGATTGTGGACGAGGAGATTTCAGAAAGCTTTGACTAGGAATGCTTGGGGAGAACAGCTGAATGAGAGGGAACTCACACATACACTGAGATGACCATAGCTGTCTGTTCCCAGTGTTTGGTTCAGCATATGAACACCACCAAGGTGGGCTGCTCTATCACTCCGTGTGGAGTGCCGTGCTGTGGGCCACCATAACAGAACCAGGTAGAACCAGAGGTGCGGAGGAGCAGAATCTTAGAACATTTTTTTCTGGCTCTTGCTGCTGTTTTTCTACTGCAGGTTGAGACCAGACTCAAACGAAAATATATATTAAAACAGAGACATATCGGGATCAGAAAGGTAAAGATTTGGGAACATTCAGTCATTTCATTCCTGCAAGGGACTTAGTGCCATAGAACTATTCAGTTCTTTAATAAGCAGTTTATATTTCTCTTTCAGCCCCAAAAAGCCGACTCCAAAACCGCCTGCTCTTCCACTTGGCTCACAAGGTATCTGTGTTCTCAGTTCGTGCTTCTTGTTTTTAAAATAGTTCTCTCTTTCTTCCTTCTTTTTTCCAACACTGGTGAAAGATAATTAACTAGAAATTTTTGTTAATGGCATTTGTAGAGCAAGCAGAAATAAGTTTTAATTTTATAGGATTTCTCTCCCATCAGTGTTCTTTCTTCTTTGAATTTATTTAGAGATGTTAGCTTTTAGTTCTTCTTAAGCAGTGGTCATTTCAGAAGGTTAGGTTGTGTCAACTGTCCTGTTGTCTCTTAGGGAACAGACTCAAAGACATCTTGTCCTGACTCCTGCAAGTAGACACACTTCAGAATTACCTTGCAGCAATAATTATGATCATCATAAAATGATATTTTAAATAGTATTTTTTCAAATTATACAAGTTATATGTGTTCATTCTATTAAAAAATATAAGTAAGCAGGAAAAAGACAACATCCACCATATCCAAAGATAACTACTTTTCATCCTTTTGGTTTATCATATCTTCTTTTAGAATAATTTTTTTTATATGTGTATTTGTCTCTTTGTTTTACAGACTGGGACTCATGCTGCATATATATTTTAATATTCTGCTTTTTTTCACTTGCTCTCATACTATGAGCATATTCTTAAGTCACTGAGTAATCTTAAAAACATGATTTGTAAAATTGCTTCATAACATTTCATCAAATGCAAGTGCCATAATTTATTTAACATTTCCCAGTTATTTAACTTTTAGATTGTTTTAGAGTTTTAGTTATAAAAATACCGTTCTGAACATCCTAGGAATGGAATTACTGAGTTAATGGTATGAACAACTTTAAAGCTATTAATTCATATTCCTAAATTATTTTACAGAAAGTTGTCTGTTTGCCCACAGGCAGTATTTGAAAATAATAATTTTGGGTATTTAAAATTTTATACCATCATTGTGGATTTGTCTCTCTTTTTAGTTCTGTCAATTTTTGCTTTATGTGTTTTTTTAGATTGTTATTAAGTGCATACAAACAGAATTACTGTGTTGTCCTAGTGGATTGAAACATTTATCATTATTAAATGTCCCTCTTTATCTCTAAAAATTCCTCTTCGCTTAAAATCTACTTTGTCATATTTGTATGGCTATACCAGCTCTAATTTGGTTAGTGTTTGCCCACTATATCTTTTTCCATCCTTTTGCTTTCTAAGGAGCCCTGGTGGCGCAGTGGTTAAGCGCTTGGCTACTAACCGAAAGGTCGGTGGTTCAAGCCTACCAGTCACTCCACGGGAGAAAGATGTGGCTTCTGTAAAGATTACAGCATTGGAAGCTCTATGGGGCAGTTCCACCCTGTCCTGTGGGGTCACTATGAGTCAGAATCGACTTGACCGCAACGAGTACTTTTCAACCTGTTTCCCTGTGTTTAAACTATCTGTCTATAATCAGCGTATAAACGAGTTTTGTGATTTTTTACGCAATTAAATTCTTCATGTTTTAAACTCTAGTATTTAATCTACTTACTTAGTTTATTGTAATTACTGATCTGGTCAGCTTTATAACTGTCATGTTACTGTTTGTTTTCTATTTACCCCAACTGACCTATGTCCTGTTTACTGTCCTTTCTTGTCTTCCTTTAGACTGATGGTTTTTATCACTCCATGCCTCCCGTCCATCAGTGTGCTAATCATGCATACTTTACAAATAATTAGCGGTTGCCCTAGCATGTGTCATTTACGTATTAAAGTGTAATAGTGATGAGTGCTTTTACCACTTTGCAAACCATTTCAAGGACCTTAGACCATTTTAACTCATTTACCGCCCTCCTCCCCATCTTTTGTGCAGGAGCCCTAGTGGCACAGTGGTTAAGCACTCAGCTGCTAACTGAAAGATCAATGGTTTGAACCCCTCAGCAGCTCTGTGGGAGAAAGATGTGGCAGTCTGCTTCTGTAAAGATTACAGCCTTCGAAACCCTATGGAGCAGTCCTACTCTGTCCTGCAGGGTTGCTAGGAGTCAGAATCGACGCGACAGCAGTGGGCTTAGTTTTTGTTTTTTCAATTGTGCTTTAGGTGAAGGGCTTAGTTTTTTGTTTTGTTTTGTTTTGTTTTAGTACCTTTTGTGCAAATTTGAAATGCATTTTAATTATCTATTTCTTTCTAACTCCACAGATACTCTTATTACTGTTTTATGCCGTTAATACTTATTTACACTTAACCATATTTATCTTCTCCAAGGGTCTTCATTTGTTCCTGCATCTTTGTACTTCCATCTGGAATGATTTTCCTTCTATTTGAACTTCCTTTAATATTTTCTTTAGTGTAGATCTGCTGGTGATGAATTTTGTCACTTTTTGTCTAAAAGTGTCTTTATATCACCATCATTTTTGAAGGATTTTTCCTGAGCATAGAGTTATAGTAGGTATTTTCCTTTAGCATTTTGAAGATGTTACTTTATTGCCTTCTGTCTTCCACTGTTTCTACTGAGTCTGTTTGTTGCTTCTTTGAAGGTTTTTTTTTTTCTGTGTTTGAAGTTTATCGCTGTCTTTGATTTTGAGCACTTTTACCATGAGATGCCTAGATGTGATCTTCTTTGCATTTATACCACGTGGGGTTCATAGTGCTTCTTAAATCTGTGGCTGGATGTCTTTATTTCAATTTGGGGAATCCTTGGCTATTCTGTCTTCAAATTTTGCTTCTGCTCTGTACTCTCCCTTCTTTCCTTCCGGGACCCCAGCTATATGCATGCATGAAGACCTTTTCCTGTGTTACATGTGTCTCTTCAACCCTCTTTTCCACATTTTCTGTATATTTTCTATAGAAATTTCCTGGAGTTTACAAGTCCTCTTCGGCTGTTTCTAATCTGCTGTTAAACTCATCTGTTTTAGTTCTTAATTTCAGCAATAGTGTCTTCAGTTCTAGAGTTATTTTATTCTTTATCAAAATTTCTAATTCAGTGTTAGAATTTCCCCAGTTTTTACTTAATTTCTTAAACATCTTGATAACAGTTTTTTCAAAGTCCATGTGTAATAATTCCAGTAACTGCATCTTCTGTCAATCTGTTTCTGTAGTCTGCTCCTTCTCTTCTCTTGGTTTTTGGTCAGATAGCCTTTTTCCCTGGTATGCTTGGTAATATTGCATTGCATGCTGGCTATTGTCTATGGAAATCTAGAGAGATCATGAGACTGGATGATGTTATTTTCTTCCAGAGAGGATTTACTCCTCCTGACAGGCACTTATGATAGGAGCCGATTACCTGATTTCTGTGAGGAATTACACTAATTTAAAGCTGGTCTTCAGTCTTCTTAGAGCTGGTCTATTTCCATTTCCCTTCTGCTTCTAAGGTATCTTTTCAGGAGTCTCAGCTGAAAGCCTTGATGGTCCCTGAACATTTTTTGTCCATTAAGCCCAAAAGACTTCTTGAAGCTGCTTAGTTATCAGCATCCCAGTCACTAATTGAGAATTGGCAGCCGCCTTAAGAGAAAAAGCAGTGCCAAGTGTCAGGCTCACCTCCAGCACTTTCCTTCTCTTTAGTGTCTTGGCATTTGAAGTCCTCACTACCTGGGTAGTGCTCCAGTGCCTTTACACAGATTTTTCAATATTATTCAAGCTTTTCTGGTTGTTCTTGGTGGGTGGACTGGCTTTAACAAGCTGCACTACTATTAGAAGTGGAAGTCTTTGATTCAGTTTTAAGAAGGATATTTTATTGTGTTTTTCTCTTAATTGAAAAAAGTACATATTCATTATAGAACTTTTAGAAAGTAGAGAAAAATCTCAAAGGAAAAAAAGTCAAGGTTTTTTGTAAGTCTAGCATATAGAGATAACTACCAGAATTTTTTGTTCTCTTTTCTTCCAGACTTTTAAAAATGTGTATTTTGTTTTTCTGTGTATGTATATTTATCTTACCAAATTGAGATCATAGTCCATACACTGTTTTATAACCAGCTCTTCACTTAAAAGTGTGTCATGAACATTTTTCCCTGCCACTGCATATTCCAGAGAAGAGATTGTAAATGTTCAAGGGCTGGAAATGAGTCACAAATGTATTTCTAGAACAGTGTACCAAATTTTAAAAAATTTATACAATAGGAAGTGCCATACAAACATTTGCATTTCTGGCTTCTCTTGAAAAATTAGAAGATTTGAAAACACTAAATTCACGTTTCTACATTCAGCAGGTGGTTGAAGCTGAGGAATGGTGCCACCTTTCGAAGGCATAGGTTTTCTCCATTTGCCCTAGTCCTGTGCTGCCAGTGGCCTTGGAATTTGGAACCTCACACCTATGCCTTGCATTTTAATACACTTAGAGTGTTCCATCTAATAGATGTGCCATAATTAATAAGTTTCATATTATTGTGAATTTACTTGTTTCCAGTTTTCATCCTAGTGAAACAGTAATATTGGAGCACGTTTTCTTCCTGTCTTTTTTTTTGGCATATAATAGTTTTATTGTTTTTGGTTTTTTCTGTTGTACTTTAGAGGAAGGTTTACAGAGCAAACTAGTTTCTCAGTAAATAATAATACACGTATTGTTTTGGGACACTGGTTGCCAACCCCACGACATGTCAACCCTCTCCCCTTCTTGACCTTGGGATCCCCATTACCAGCTTTCATGTCCTCTCCTGCCTTCTCGTCTTTGCCCCTGGGCTGGTGTGCCCATTTAGTCTCACTTTGTTTTATGGGCCTGTCTAATCTTTGGCTGAAGGGTGAACCTCGGGAGTGACTTCATTACTGAGCTATAAGGGTGTCCGGAGGCCATGCTCTCAGAGTTTCTCCAGTCTCTGTCAGACCAGTAAGTCTGGTCTTTCTTTTTGTGAGTTAGAATTTTGTCCTACATTTGTCTCCAGTTCTGTCCAGGACCCTCTATCGTGATCCCTGTCAGAGTGGTCAGTGGTGGTAGCCGGGCACCTAGAGCACGTTTTCTTGATGTTTATCATCAATTAAAGTGCCGGGGGATGAGAAAAGTTAGGCTCCAAGGGAACCTTTCCAGTTTAGACTGTGGAATGTAGAAGCTGCATTCATTTGTCTACCACATCAAGACAAGAGTTAAATAACTCTTATAAAAAGTGTCTCTAATATATCAGTGATCAGACTGGAAGTCAGCTTCAGAGTTAATTTGTGTGTGTGTAGAGAGTGCCTTGTTTTAAAAAATTTAAGTGTATAAGCCATTCTTTATACCAGGAGTGAGTAATCTATATTTTAAGGGTCACTCCCAAAGACAATACATCTGTTCTACCCCACGTATAAACAAAAGGCAGCTATTATTTCAGAACCACTTAACAGAATATGCATGCAAGGTTGGAATGGAACTCTGACAGCCTACAATGTATAGTAACTGAAGAGTGGACGAAAATACATAGAACAGGAAATTAAAATCTATTCACTACACCACATCAGGAGAAAGACATTTTGATTCCATGTTACCTCCAAAGGAGAAAGAAATACAAAAGTACAGATAAAAATTGTTTAGTGGCTAAGAGGAAAGAGACATAGAAAAAAGGAAAGGGAGAAAATGTAAAGAGAGCAATAGAAAAGAAAAAGAAGGTAAGAGGAAGGGAGCTTTGAGTAATTTGTATTAGCTGTAATTTAAAGGCTTTCCATTGCCAAGGCTGTGCCTCTGGAGGCTGTTTGCATTCTTTCCCTGAAGGAGAGACGACAAGGAACCAAGGGAGTAGGGAGGAGACAGAGACACAGAGGAGAAGGAGGAGTTTGCACATCTGTAACACAAGCGTTGGATTCTGTGAGCGTACACTAATGAGGATCTTAACATGTCTTTTTCTCTCTCACAATTTTAGTTTAATGATGAAAAGAAACTGATGAACTTTCATCAGAATCTTCAGGATATCACAGAAGATCAACTCAGCTTGGCCTCAATCCACTATATGCGATCTCACTACCAAGAAGCCATTGATATATACAAGCGAATACTGCTAGATAACAGGTCTATGCCCTTTTTTCCCTACTCAAAATCACTTTCATTCTCTTAGTTTCTCCTGCAGCTAGTTTGGCTGAGGACCCAGTGCCAGCATGTGCTCAAATCTGCTTAGTTAGCGTTCTGACGAGATGAGGAACTCCTTCGATAGTGTCTAGATCAGAGTTTCTTTACCTTTCTTTTCACTATTGTCCCTCTAAGGAGTTTATTTAGACATTTTTCCCTAATCCCCCTAGGAAATTTTAACACCATGTGTATACTGTCATTAAAAAGACAGGAAAGAAAGAAAAGACCAAACTGGATGTCAGAAGAGACTCTGAAACTTGTTCTTGAATGTTGAGTAGCTAAAGCAGATGGAAGAAACGATGAAGTAAAAGAGCTGAATGAAGGACACTTCGAGAAGACAAAGTAAAGTATTATGCTGACATGTGCAAAGACCTGGAATTAGAAAACCAAAAGGGAAGAACTTGCAAGGTATTTCTCAAGCTGAAAAAACTAAAGAAAAAATTCAAGCCTCAAGTTGCAATATTGAAGGATTCTACAGGGAAAATAGTAAATGACACAGAAAGCATCAAAAGAAGATGGAAGGAATATACAGAGTCACTGTTCCGAAAAGAATTGGTTGACGTTCAGCCATTTCAGGAGGTAGCATGTGATCAGGAACCAATGGTACTGAAGGAAGAGGTCCAAGCTGCACTGAAGGCATTGGCAAAAACAAGTCTCCAGGAATTGACAGAATACCAATCGAGATGTTTCAACAAATGGATGCAGCACTGAAAGTGTTTACTCATCTATGCCAAGAAATTTGGAAGACAGTTACCTGGGCCACCAACTGGAAGAGATCCATATTTACGCCTATTCCAAAGAAAGGTGATCCAATCGAACGTGGAAATTAATCAAAAAATACCATTAATATCCCATACAACTAAAATTTTGCTGAAGATCATTCAAAAGCAGCTGCAGCAGTATGTCAACAGGGAACTTACAGAAATTCAAGCCGGATTCAGAAGAGGACGTGGAACCAGTGATATCGTTGCTGATGTCAGATGGATCCTGGCTGAAAGCAGAGAATACCAGAAAGATGTTTACCTGTGTTTTATTGACTATGCAAAACCATTTGACTCTGTGGATCATAACAAATTATGGATAACGTTGCAAAGAATGAGAATTCCAGAACACCTAATCGTGTTCATGAGGAACCTGTACGTAGATCAAGAGGCAGTCATTCGAACAGAACAAGGGGATACCGTGTGGTTTAAAGTCAGGAAAGATGGTTGTAACCTCTCGCCATACTTATTCAATCTGTATGCTGAGCAAAATTATCTGAGAACCTGGACTATATGAAGAAGAACACAGCATTAGAATTGGAGGAAGACTCGTTAACAACCTGCAGTATACAGTTGACACAACCTTCCTAGCTGAAAGTGAAGAGGACTTGAAGCACTTACTGGTGAAGATCAAAGACTCCAGTCTTCAGGATGGATTACACCTCAACATAAAGAAAACAAAAATCCTCACAACTGGACCAATAAGCAACATGATAAACTGAGAAAAGATTGAAGTTGCCAAGGATTTCATTTTACTTAGATCCACAATCAACACCCATGGAAGCAGCAGTCAAGAAATCAAAAGACGCATTGCACTGGGCAAATCTGCTGCAAAAGACCTCTTTAAAGTGTTAAAAAGCAAAGATGTCACCTTGAAGGCTAAGGTACACCTGACCCAAGCCATGGTTCATTTGCCTCATATGCATGCAAAAGTTGGGCAATGAATAAGCAAGACTGAAGAATTGTTCCCTCTGAATTATGGTGTTGGCGAAGAGTATTGAATATACCATGGACTGTGTGATGGTTAAGATTGTGTGTCAACTTGGCTGGACCATGATTCTCAGTGTTTCTATGTGATCGCTCCCATGATGCAGTCTGCTGTGAGTAGCCAGTCAGTTGAAAGGGAGTTTCCTTGAGGGTGTGACCTGCATCCAAATATAAGCAGATGTTCTGGCTTTTTGCTCACTCTGGATCCTGTGGCTGCCTCTTGTTTGTCTGACCTCCAATTCTTGGGACTTGAACTATCAGCTTATGTGCTGATCTTGGGATTCGTTGATCTTCACAGCCTGTGAGCAAGAGCCCTGCTCTCCAGCCTGCCGATCTTGGGTTCGCCATCTCCTGCAGCTACGTGAATCAAGAGAAGCCTCTATCCTGATCCACGGACTTGGGACGTTCCAGCCTCTACAATCGCATGAGCCGTTTCCTTGATATAAATCTCTCTATATATATATGTATACGCTTTACTGGTTTTGGTTCTCTAAAGGACTCAGAACAAACTGCCAGAAGAACAAACAAATCTGTCTTGGAAGAAATACAGCTAGAATGTTCCTTAGAAGCAAGGATGGTGAGACTACGTCTCACATACTTCGGACATGTTATCAGGAGGGATCAGTCCCTGGAGGAGGACATCATGCTTGGTAAAGTAGAGGGTCAGCGAAGAAGAGGAAGACCCTCAACAAGACGGATTGACACAGTGGCTGCAACAGTGGGCTCAAGCATAACAACGATTGTGAGGATGGTGCAGGACTGGGCAGAGTTTCATTCTGTTGTACATAGGGTTGCTATGAGTTGGAACTGACTCGATGGTACCTAACAACAACAACATATACTGTGTATCTGTTTATGTGCTGTATGTATATCAATCTGTGCTTTACACGTGAAATGAGTACAGTTTTTTCACATTCCCCTAAGAACCACTTTCACCCCTTTAAGGGTGATATTGTCTCTGTTGAGAGAGAATGAGCTAGTGTCAGTCTCAGTGTTGTTGACACTAAGGTGACTTGAGGACAAAATTAGAAATAAACCATTCTGAAGAATTAATGTTCCATCTTCCTATCAGTGACCACTTTGCGTTTCTCCTCTTCCCCAAACTTTTGCATACACCTCCCTTCTTGGCCCTTTGCTTTACCTTCACAGTCTGCACCCATCCCCTTCCCAGTCATCAAGCCCACCTGGCGTGTCTGGCCATCCACCATGTGGTGTGTGCTTATTGCGTTTATGCTCAATTCTAACATATGTTAGTTTTTCTGCACAAGCAGGTAGAATTTGAGGTATTCTCTTTCTTCTCTGTCATCTTTTGCTCTAGTTATATTGGAACAGCAAAATATTACAATGAAAAAAGAAAAAAATTGCAATGATTATATCTTGCCTTTTTCACAAGGCAAATTCATGAACTTTGCTTTCCTGTCAATCTGAGCCATTTAAAAAAGTCCTTGTAGTCTGACAACATTTCTTAAAGTAGATTTAAACTGTTAACCCTTAATTCTTTCATTTAATAGGGAATACCTTGCCCTCAATGTTTACGTGGCCCTCTGTTACTACAAGTTGGATTACTATGATGTCTCTCAAGAAGTTCTGGCTGTTTACCTTCAGCAAATTCCTGATAGTACCATTGCTCTCAACCTGAAGGCCTGTAATCATTTTCGCCTTTACAACGGGAAAGCAGCTGAGGTAGTCATGTTTAATGTAGATTTTTTTTAAATATCCTGTATCAGAAGGAACCTCCTTTCTTGTGTTAGTTTGCTCGAGTTTTTATGATGCTAAGATGTGGAATTTTATCAGCATGTGTTCTGTATCTTTTGAGATGGTCATATAATTTTCTCTCTTAATCTGTTTTTGTGGCAAGTTACATTGAGATATTTTCCATTGTAAAATTAACTTTGCATTGCCAAGATAACCCAACTTGGTCATAGTGTATTCTTTTCTTTACATATCATAGGACTCACTTAGCTAATAGTTTATTTAAGATTTTTGAGTCAATACTTGTCAGTATTATTGTTCTATAATTTGGGTTTTTTTTTAATTTGTTTTTTTTTTTTTTTTTGCTATTGCTCATATCAGGTTTTAGTACAAAGGTTATATTAGGCTCATTAAATGAACTGGGGAAGGTACTGTATGTTTCTGTTGTCTGGAAGAATTTAAGATTGGCATTAGTTTTTCCATAAATGTTTGGTAGAATTTGCTAATGAAGCAATCTAGACTTGGAAGGTTTTAAATCACTAATTCAATTCCTTTAATGGTTATAGGACTAATTGATGGTTTCTACTTTTTCTTTTGTCATTTTTTGGTAAGTTGTATTTTTGTAGAGTTTGACCATTTTATTTACATTTTCAATTCTTTTTCTTTTAGTCTTTCAAAAAACCAGCTTTTGGTTTTGTTAATGCTCTCTTTCACATAATTGTTTTTTTTTTAATTAATTGTTGTACTTATCTCTTATTTCCTTCTGTTTTGTTTCAGTGTGCTTTGCTGTAATTTTTTAAATTCTTAGAATGGATGCTTAGCTTATTAATTTTTAGCCTTTTCTAAAATACCATTTAAGATTATAAATTTTTCCTCTAGGTATTGATTTAGCTGCATTCCAAGTTTGAGTATCCAATACAACTTCTCATTTCCAGTATGAGTTCTTATTTTGGGTTAATTAGAAGTATACTTCATAATTTTCCCGTAATTGGAGAATTTTCCAGTTATCTTTTTGCTAGTGATTTATAGCATAATTACATTGTAGTCTGAGAGCATATTCTGTATGATTTTATTCCTTTGATATTTTTTGAAACTTGATTTATGGCTGCAGTATATGGTCAGTTTTTCTAAGCTTTCCATGTATACTTGAATAGAATGCATACTTCGAAAATAGTGGTGCAAGATTTCTTGTATGTCCATTATGTCAAGTTAATTTTTTATGATGTATCGAAACTTCTGTAAGTTAGTAGTTTTGTTATGTCTGCTCAACGTCAGTTACTGAGAGAGGTGTGGTGTTCAGATCTCCCGCTATGATTGTGAATTTGTCTGTTTCTCCTAGCTCTTTGCATTTTTTGCTTTATATATTTTGAGACATGATTTTATGTATATAATTTTAAATTGTTACATCTTCCTGGTGAATTGAACCTTTTATCAGTATAAAGTGATCCTCTTTTCTCAAATTATATTTTTGTCTTAAAGATATTTTATATGCTCTTAATGTAGATATAAAAGTTTTCTTCTGATTTGTGTTTTTAGGTTTTTTTTTCAACCGTCCTTTTACTTTCATCCTCTTTATGACTTTGTCCTTTAAGTGTGTCTCTTGTGAAATATAGTCGATTTTGTTTATTTATTCTGCCTGTCATGAGGATCAACTGAAATAGCATGTTAAATTCTTTGTAAACTATAAAGCATTGTGTAACTGAAATAAGAACTATGCAATTATCATTTCCATAAGCCTTTTATTTTTCAATTTCAGGCAGAACTCAAAAGCTTGATGGACAATGCTTCTTCTTCCTTTGAATTTGCTAAAGAACTCATCAAGCACAATCTGGTGAATAGCAGATTTCGGTCTTGACTGTCTTGAGTCCTACCCTGCTTTGGTACATCACCGCAGTTAGGAGGATGAATGAAGGGAGCTATCCAGCAGATAGCACGCTAGTCCAGGGAACTCCCTGATGTGGAGGAGACAAAGTGGGTTTAAGATAGAATTCCTTTCCTCAAGGAAATGCTTGTTGGGAGGGCAGTAATACATACATGAAATGTTTAAAAGAAGCATAAGGCAGTGTCGATCCAGATGTTAGTTTTTTTGGGCACGGACGAGGGAACGTACCCTTGTGGGTTAGAAAACAAAAAAACCCAAACCCATTGCCATCGAGTCAGTTCCGACTCATAGCAACCCTATAGGACGGAGTAGAACTGCCCTATAGAGTTTCCAAGGAGCACCTGGTGGATTTGAACTGCTGACCTTTTGGTTAGCAGCCATAGCACTTAACTACTATGCCACCAGGGTTTCCTGTGGGTTAGAGTAAATGGGAAAGATTTTCTGGTGGAAGTGAAACTTGAGCTGGTCTTTGAAGGATGGTTGAGATTTAAAGGGTTCATTCTAGGCAAGGACATGGAATTAGAACGAGGATGACAGATGTGAATGGTGGTGAGCAGGTTTCTCTTACTAGAACAGGAAGCTTGCACTGGGGAGTAGTGGGAAGTAAAGTTGTATGGGAGGGGAGCGTGTGGGCTTGACTATGACGGCCATGGCTAAAAATGCCCAGGCTCAGGTTAAGTTTGACTGTGTTGTCCTTCCATTGTAGTGAGAAACAGAGCAGCTGCTTTCAGCTCAGAGCCTGGGGACATTGGGCAAGTTATTTAATATTGCTGAGTCTCAGATTCCTGGTCTAAAAATGGGGATAATAATAACTACATCTCCTCCTTCTCCTTTCTTTAGCACTGCAGTTCTCCCAGTACCCTGCTCAAAACCACAGCCATTTTAGATTCTCCCTCCCCTTGGTCTCTGGTATCTACTCAGTCACTGCATCCTGTCGTCTTTCTTGGCAATGTCTTGTATTTACTCCTTTCCTTCTCTAACTCAGGCCCCCATCACAGATCGTTTTATTTGGATAGTTCCTATGATGGGTTCCTTCCTCCAATCTTTTCACTTCTAATCTGGTTTCTAAATTGAAGCCAGATTACATTTTTGTGGAGAATGATGAGTTAGAGAAAGTAGTGTAGAATTTACACTTGGACAGAGATCAAGAGTGGAGAAGACATGTACGTGTTATCATAAGAAACTTGATTTCTGAAGTCCTAACAATTAAATACGAAAGAAAGGATTAAAAACAGAGAAAAATGTGGTTCCGAGGAGCATCTGTGTTTAAGGCACTGGAGGAAGAAGAGTCACGAAGGCAACAGGAAAGGGCAGGCGAGAAAGAGCGCCTAGGTAGTGTAATGTCACATAAAGCGGTGGCTCTCAGCCCTGGCTGCTGTTACAGTCACCAGGAGGCCTTTGGAAATACTGATGCCGGCCTCCACCCCCACAGAGTCTCATTAGTGGTTGGCTGGGGCCCAGCTCTCAGTGTTTTTCTTAAAATCTTCCCAGGTGGATGTAATATGCAGCCAGAGTAAAGAATCGCTGAATGAACACATATGATGGGAAGGAGCATATCAAGGATTATCCTTAGAGTGGGATTAAAGAGGGAAGGGAGAACGTGCCTGTCTTAGTTATCTAGTGCTGCTATAACAGAAATACCACAAGTGGGTGGCTTTAACAAACAGAAATTTATTTTCTCACAGTTTAGGAGGCTAGAAGTCTGAATTCAGGGCACCAGCCTTAGGGGAAGGCTTTTTCTCTGTTGGCTCTGTGGGAAGGTCCTTATTCCTTGGATCCTTGGAGATCTTCAGGGGCATGGCATCTATCCTCTCCCATCTCTGCTTCCTTGATCTGCTCCTTTTATATTTTGTAAGAGACTGACTCAGGACATACCCTACACTAATCTTGTCTCATTAACATAACAAAGACAACCCATTCCCAGATGGAATTATAACCACAGGCACAGAGGTTAGGATTTACAACACATATTTTGGTGGTACACAGTTCAATCCATAACAGTGGACATTTTCATTTTTCCTTTTGTAATACTGTAGTTTCCTCCCCCAATGAACACATACTACTTTTATAGTTCAAAAAAATTTGGAAAATACTGAGGCAGTACAAAGCTTGTGAAGAGCACAGACTTTCAAAGTTACCTTGAGGTCAGAATCACACTATGCCATGTACTAGCTGGTAACTCTGGGCAAGTCACTCAGCATTGCTAAGTCTTAGGTTCTCGTGTATGGGACGGGGGAAATCATAGCACCTACCTTATTTCTCTCTGAGGGTAGATCAGGTAACGTGTGGAAGGCGCTTCTTCACCCGGTGCCTAGCTGCTAGGATGGATTTGGTAAGTGGTAGTGTTCTCACGGTCATCCTGTGGCCTCAGTGTCAGAGCTGCAGACAGTCATGGAGCAAGAGGACCGAGGAAGCCTGTGGGATTTTAGCTAACAGGTGATTCGTGACTTCTGAGAGTGTGTTTACTGGTGTGCCGAGAGCAGAAGCCCGTTTTCTGGGGGTCAGAGAGTGAGGGGATGAGAAGAAAGAAGAAACAGTAGGCCACATACTTTCGAAGTGTGGCTTTGCGAAAAGAAGAAAAACAGGGCACTTTGCAGAGGGAACAGTGGGACCAAGTGGAAAAGTTTTCGAGAGAACCAAAACCCTTGTGTACGGTTAAAGTTGAGAAGGGGCCAGGGCTTCAGGAGGCCTGAAGAGGCCATGGTTCATGCAGAACCAAGGTGCTGATGGAGTTAGAGGTCATGAGGTCAAGGGCACAGGGGAAGGACTTAATCTTGGCAGAAGAAGGGAACATCTCAGACAAGAACAAAGAAAAAGATGACCGAATTGACGTTTGAGGTAGGAAGAAGAGATGGGGTAGTCATGCCTGAGGTCTGGATTTCTGTAATTTAATTTGTGAAACATTTACTGTGTGCCAGACACTGCTAGGCTCTGGGAATACGACAGTGAGTGACAGTGTCCTTTCACAGAGGTTTTTGTGGGTTTTTTTTAGTTTTTCTTTATAGCATTTAGCATCACCTGACAGCATACGTATTTGTGTGCTATTTGAAGGTCCCTCCCCACCTGAGTGTAGCTTCCATGGTGGCAGGGGAGTGACTTCTTCCTGCCGTAACCCCACTGCCTGTTATAGTACCAGCCACAGAGTAGGTGCCAACGAGTATTTACTGAATTAATGAAATGAAATGATATCTGCTATGTTAACTCGTTTAATCCTCATAATAACCCTGAAAGGAAGACATTCCTAATGCCGTTTAGAGATGAGAAAGTAGTCTCAGAAAGGTTATGGAAATTCCTTCGTGGAGTTTTTATTGTAGAATATCTGTCTAGAAAAAGTTTCATCAATTATTGGGTACCATAAACGAGTTTTCTGCAGTTGTTACAAGGAGAAAAGGAAAGGTCTGCAATGAAAGTCATGTTTTCACTTTGTTGCTTACGCCTGTTACAATTTAGATAAGGCTGACTTTCAGTGAGGTCAATGTCCATGTGTATATAAATTTTCAAACCTATATTTGTTCTTCCAAAAAATAATTGAGTGCCTACTATACTGGCCCTAGATCTGTGGGATGGGAGTATACACAGTAAATCCAGAGTTCTGTGTCACGTGGAGCTTTATGCCGGTGGATGTAACCAACAAACAGAAAAATACAAAGTAAAACGGAGTGATAAGTGCTGTGAATAAAAATAAAGACAAAGGCATAGAGGGTAATAGTGGAGATAGATTTTAGATAGGGCGAAAAAGAAATATTTATTTCCGGGCTGTCAAGAGTCAGAAACAGGAGCGGGAAAGAACAGGGCTAAGACGCACAGGCGATAGCTTGACAATAATAAATTCAGCAAATGATGGAAGTTCTTGATACACTTTGGATTCCCAGAGGTGTTTCAGTTGGCTGTCATGCACCTAGTTGTCTGTGGCAGCTCCTTAATTATCTCCATCACTAAGTATGTGCCTGATTGTTGCCATAATCACACAATTCCTCTCTCTCTAGGTTGTTTTCCGGGGAGGTGAAGGGGCTTTGCAGGTTCTGCCCCCCCTGGTTGATGTCATTCCTGAAGCGAGGCTAAACTTAGTGATTTACTACCTTCGCCAAGGTAAGAAGAGCTTGTCTGGCTTTTACTTGTAACAGGAGATTTTAGAACATCCAATCTCTGAATGGAGCCCTGGTGGCACAGTAGTTAAGAGCTCAGCTGCTAACCTAAAGGTCAGCAGTTCGAATCCACCAGCTGCTCCTTGGAAACCTTATGGGGCTGTTCTACTCTGTCCGATAGGGTTGCTAGGAGTCGGAATCGACTCAACGACAACAGGTTTGGTTTTTTTGGAATCTCTGAATAGGAGCCCTGGTTGTGCAGCAGTTAAGTGCTCGGCTGCTAACCAAAAGGTTGGCAGTTTGAACTCACCAGCCGCTCCATGGGAGAAAGACATGGCAGTCTACTTCCGTAAAGATTTACAGCCTTGGAAACTCTATAGGGCAGTTCTGCTCCATCCTGTGGGGTCACTGGGAGTCGGAATCAGTCAACTCTACGGCACCAGGTCTTTGGTTTTAGTCTCTAAATAAGGAGCCCTAGTGGTACAGTGGTTCAGCACTTGACTGCCAACTAAACAATTGGCAGTTTGAACCCACCCACTGGCTCCTCAGGAGAAAGACCTGGTGATCTGCTTCTGTAAAGATTATAGCCTAGAAAACCCTTTGGGGCAGTTCTGCTCTGCTATAGGTCGCTCTGAGTCGCAATCGACTCGAAGGCAACAGGTTTTGGTTCCTTAATACTTCCAAAACTATATTTGCGTCAGGTTCATAGGACAGAACAGATTTCTTGGTGCTGGTTTTTTGTGCTTTTTTTTTTATCCTCTTTTCTGCTCGCAGCCTTGTTCTCCTCATCCTGTTTCCATGCCCCTCTGGGTTCCTGTCCTCTGCTCTCCACCCGTCTTCTCTTTCACTTCCCACTGTTCTTCCTGCCTCCCCATTCAACTGCTCCATTCTTCCTGGTTCTCTCTGATGTACCATGTACATTCCCACTTCTGTTTTTTTATCATTAATTTTTTATTTGCTCTGGTATTCTGCCTTTCTGTTTCTCTGTACCTATGATCTCCTATGAGAAATGTTACGATTCAAAGAGAATTGATAGTTATTGCCCTAATTGCTAGTCGCATCCCTGAAACTGCCCTTTATTGGATGGTTATGGGCCCAGGGGAATAGCGGCCGTGCGTCTGTGGGACACTCTTGTCAGAGACTGCAGACTCAGGGCATGGGGGACCGCGGACTCGGGGCGTGGGGGACCGCGGACTCGGGGCGTGCGGGACTGCGGACTCGGGGCGCAGGGGACCGCAGACTCGGGGCGTGGGCCTTTTAGGTGACGTGCACACTACCAGACAGCATATCCTCATTGAGGAAGATGCGAATGTTTAGTAAAATAAGACCTTGAACTTGCAAACAGTTTTCTCTCTGAGATCTATAGGGAAAAAGAAATATGCTTTTGAACAAGAATTTAAAGAATAGCTTATGTATTTTATAAATTAATGTTTATTATGGGATTTTTCAAACATATGCGAAAGTAAAGAGAATAGTGTAATGAGTACCCAAATACTCATCCCATACTCTACAATTTTCAAGATCTTGCTGGCCTTTTTTCATCCATTCCCCCCTTTTTGTCTCTGAAATGTTTTTGTTTTTTTAAATAGTATTTTATTGTGTTTTCGGTGGAAGTGTACACAGCAAGTTAGGTTTCCATTTAACAATTTCTACACATATTGTTCAGTGACGTTGTTTACAGTTTTTACAATGTATCAACATTCTCATTAATTTTATTCTGGTTGTTCCATTTCCAGTAATCTAGTTTCCCTGACCCTTTACCTTCTCATCTTTGTTTTAGAAGAGTTGTTGACCATTTGGCCTCATGCAGATGATTTTTTAAAGGCATACAGTATTCACAGGGGATATTCTTTATTTTATGAGCCAATCTGTTATTTAGCTGAAAGGTGACCTCAGGGCTTAAAGAGTGTCTCATGGCAATAGCCTCAGAGGTTCCTCTAGTCTCTACTGCTCCAGTAGGTAAGACTTTTCAGGAATTTGAGTTCTGTTCCAGTTTTTTCTTCCATTCTGTCAGAATCCATCTCTTGTGGCCGTGATCAGAATGGTAGGTAGTGGTAGCCAGGTACCATCTAGTTCTTCTGGTCTCAGTGTAGATGAGGCCATGGTTCGTGTAGAATATCAGTCCTATAGACCAGTTACTTCTCTGAGTTTCGGATTTCCTTCTTTCTCTTTTGCTCCAGACAAATAACAGACCAATAGTTGTATCTTAGATGGCTGTTCACAAGCTTTTAAGACCCCACACACTACTCACCAGACTAGGATGTAGAACATAAACTTTATGAACTATATTACGCCAATTGACCAAGTTGTCCCACGAGACTATGGTCCTAAGACTTCAAACCTAGAAAACCAGTCCTGCAAGGTGTTTGGTTATGTCTAAATATCTGTAACTGTGCCCCCGTGTGGTTTATTATATATATGAGTATATATGCATATACACACATACATGCATAAACACATACATATAGATACATTTATCTGTGCACACGTACACAATATACGTGTACATACACATACATGCATCTGTACATACGTGTGTAACCATGTACACATTTTTTGGTTGTTGTTGGTGTTGTAAAATTATATTTTTGATCTCTCTTACCTGCTGAAATGTTTTAAGGCAAATTCCAAACTAATTATCATTGCACTCCTACATATATATATATATATATATATTTTTTTAAAAGGTCATTTTTCTTCTGTAACCCCAGTGCCATTATCGCCGTTAACAAAAGTAACAATAATTCTTTGGTATGTGATACCCAGTTCATATTCTTAACGTGAACATTTTTTTAGGTGCCTCCTGACTTAATATAAGTTTTCTAAGGATATTTGATTATCTTTAGGATAACTACTCAACATTGAACTTGATCGAGAGCTAGAGGTCAGGTAAAAACGTCCTATTTCCCGTGAATGCTTGAGTATTAAAGGATTGTATCTTTCTGGGACTGCTTCAGAAGAGTTTGCTGGAATACAGACTAGGTAACTACTTATTTCTCATATTTCAGATGATGTGCAAGAAGCTTATAATTTAATTAAGGATCTGGAACCTACTACCCCTCAGGTAATTAAGAGTGTTTTATGTTTTTAGTAACCAAGTTCTCTTGAAAATCAGTAGAACTTCAGAAACATAGCCAAAAGGCATGGTAGAGGAGATTCCTTCTTGTAGAATCCCAGAAAAGACCCTAAATATTGATCTAGACTCCATGTTCCATTGTAGTGATGCTTTTGATAAGAGAGTGAATGTTCTGGACTTTTTGATGTTTTTAAATTCCCTTCTTTGTGGCCATTTCTTCAGAAGCGTTAAGAATTGAACATATTCAAATCCGATATTGTGATGAAGCTAACGACTAGGTATGTACAGGTAGTCCCTGACTCCCAGCGTATCCGAGTTCCCACAGACTGCACTGAGGACCATCGCACTTACGACTGTCCGTTTTTTATTTTGTTTGTACCTCTTGTCATTAGTAATACGTACTACATACGGTGTTGCAGCGTGTAATTTGCTGATGTTATCGTTCTCATGCTAACCCCCCATACTGATAATAAAAGGCAATAATAATGAAAACTAAAGCAAAAAACAAAAAAACGAGGTATTGGTAACATGTGAGAACTGACTTAGGACAGAGTCGTTGGAATGGAGCCGCCTCGTAAGTCAAGGGACTACCTGTGTACTTATCTCACTGGGGTGATTGTCTATAACTTGTCCGTCTCCCCTGCTACACTGTTAACTCCTTGCAGTCAGGGACTGTGTCTGTGTTGCGTGGCCAGAACTAAGTACAGTGCCTGGTACATAGCAGGCATTCCGATTATTGGTGAATGAGTGAATGAATGAAAATGTGTCCGGGCCCCATGGGGTCTAAACAGGTGTATTTCTCAAGTGTATTGAAAGCTTCAGCATCTTCCACACTGTTCTTTTCCTGAGCTCTCCTATATAAAAATAGCCCTCATGTAAAAATTAAAAATTGGTGGAACTGCTGAGGAGGATACTTTTTAAAGACTTGAACCAAATCTGAAAGAGAAGCCCCAGCGTTCCGAAAGAGAATAGCTTACACATGGGAAGCAGAGGATTGTTTTCTGAGGGACAGAATCACTAGGAAGAGAGGATTATTGAGTGTTTGGCAGAGGGAAATAATGCAGATGATGTGGCCATGGAGGAAGGCAGGGCTGATACGGTGACAAAAAGTGTTACAGAAACATTTTACTGTTAATTTTTTCCCGTTGGATTGAAATAAAACAAACTTTATCTGCTGGAAGCTTCCACTGAGTTACTTCTGCTTAAGAATGAGAATTTACAAACATGACGAATTCCATTATATGGACACTTGCTTCCTGAGAATTGAAGTGAAAGTCTCCTAATTCTATCATTTTAGCCAGGGACAGAACAGAGACAAGGTAAGCTGTATACAGCTAATACATACCAAGCATTGAGTCGACACAACGATTCAGCAGGAAAGATATCTCATAGTTCTATGTTCCTCTCAGATTAATCGGTGTTTTTCCATTTTCCAGGAGTATATCCTCAAAGGAGTCGTCAATGCAGCCCTTGGCCAGGAAATGGGGTCGGTGAGTCACTGGTAGCCTATCGTTTGCAAAATTCCCGTGTGTGGAAAAGATCAAAATGAACATCAGATGCAGTTGGCAGTAAGCTTACAAATAGGCTCTTCTGCAGTTCCTTTCATTTGTCCATATCCCTCAATTCAGATTCCGTTGTAAAAAGAATTGTATGTTACTTGGAAACAAAAAGAAGCAGCAGCTTGGACTCTAAGAATTGCTGCTCTGTTGAAAAGGAGCCTTGCATCTGATGGCAGCAGCAACAGATCATCACGCTGCTTCATTCTTAATTGCAGGACTTTTTTGTCCACCCTTGGGTCTCTCTGAGCTATAATTTTGTCATCTGTAAAATGGGGATCATTGTTTCTCTGGGAAAACTTTTTATAAGCATCAAAAGGCTGTCTAAAGATAAGCTCTTATCTGTCTTAATATGCTTGCTGTATTCAGTTCTTTTTTGGAACAAAAACCAAAAACCAAACCCCTTGCTGTCAAATCCATTCCAACTCATAGTGACCCTATAGACAGAGTAGAACTGCCCTACAGGGTTTCCAAGGAGCAGCTGGTGGATTCGAACTTGCCGACCTTTAGGTTGGCAGCCGAGCCCCTGAAATAAATCTTTGTATCTCCAACTCACTGCACAGTGCCCATACAGTAGATAGGCAGTAAATGGTTGTTGAATACACAATTTTATTTAGTAAATATTCATTGTTACAACTAGCTCCTACCACAGGGTCTGATATATTAAAAAAAACATTAAATATTTGTGGATTGAATAAATGAATGCATTCACTAAGTAAAGGTACTGTTAGGATAGAATTGGGGGATTGGAATTTTTTTCATCTTTTCTGTCTGACCCTAAGTAGGTTTTAATTTAGTTTCAGGTTATCATTTTCTAAGTGCTTATGTTAATAAGAATTAGTATAGTTTTTGTCAACATTTAACAAAGGTATATGTGAAATCTTGACAAATCGGTTAAAACCATAAAGTGTCATACAAATGAGATATTTTTACCTTCTTCCTGTGTATCGGCTCTGCTTTGTTTTTCAGAGGGATCATATGAAAATCGCCCAGCAGTTCTTCCAGTTGGTGGGAGGCTCAGCCAGTGAATGTGGTATGTCTGCAGTCTGCACACAGGAGCATGGCTCATGACTGGATCTGAGTGTGGATCTGCCGGGGAGGTTTGGTTCCCTGTCCAGGAGCTCATCTGGGGGGATTCCGCTTACAAAGTGGAGGGTCAGGAATAGGAGAGAAGGCTGGAATACACTCTCGTCAGCGCCTCAGCTGAAGTGGGATGAGAGAATAAATACAGGAGAATAAATGGATTCTTCATTTCATGAGCGTTTTAAAAGTTTGATTTAGTCTTCAGTTTTAAATATTAGTTTTTATTGATTTGTCAGTATTTCTTTATGTATAACATTTTATCATGTCGAAGATATTTTTTCTCTGGTGGGTCATTTGCCTTTTGACTTTGCCTACAGTATTTTTTTCCTATATAAAAATATTGGAGCCCTGGTGGCACAGTGGTTAAGATCTACGGCTGCTAACCAAAAGGTCGGTGGTTGAATCCACCAGCCGCTCCTTAGAAACTCTGTGGGGCAGTTCTACTCTGTCCTAAGGGTTGCTATTTTATTTAGTAAAATGTTTCTTTTCTGTAATGATTTCTTACATGGGTATCAAGCTCAGAAAGTGCTTTCATACTTCACAGTGATACAGTATTCACCTATATTTGCCACTTGTAGTTTTGCGGTTTCAGTTTTATTATTAAAATATGGGTTTCGTCAGCCGAGATTCAGGGTAGGGTCTGAGAAAGGCCGTATAAAGGCTGATAGCCAGTGTGACCGCCGCGGCTGCCTGCGGTAGTATGTAACCAGCATTTATTCTGACTCATCAGAGTTCACGCTGAACTGATGGTTATATACTTTATCACCCCTGAATATTTATTTTCTTTCAAATGTTTATTTAGTTAATATTTTCCTCCATTTCATTCATTCATTCATGCAACAAAAGTTTATTGAGGTGATGGGAATGCAGCAGCGAGCAAAACAACCAAAAACCACCGCCCCTGTGGAACTGCCAGTCTATGGAGACAGACAAGCAATAAACATGATAACTAAATAGATTATATAGTTTCCCAGACTGTGATGAGTGCTATGGAAAAAATTTGAATGGAGTTAGGGAGATGGAGTGTGCTGTTGGCAAGGGTAATCCCCTACTACCTCAGGTAAGACTCTGCTGTCGGAAATAACGCTGGGTCAGAATCAGGTGGTTCCAGGCAAGTGATTTCTGCGCTTGAGATGGGGAGTGCTAGGCTGTCCTAGGCGAGTGATGATGGAAACCAGGCCACATCAGCTGAGCGGGCAGGCGCTGGAGCCCTGGAGAAAGACCCGAGAATCCCGTGGCCAGTGCACCTGCAGGGCATTGCTCCCCTGGGGCTCTGGGAGCGAACCCCCAGGAAGATGACTGGTCCCTCAGAGTACCCTGACTCCAGCGTGTTGGATTCTTGCCCACTGAACAGAGTCTGTAATTTCAGAATCTAGAAGAAGGTGTTGGGATACATTCCTATCTCTAAATTATAAAATAACTCAGGTTTAAGCGAAAGAGAGCTTGTAGTTGCTGAACACACATGGGTTCTTTCCCCTCCATTTCAGACACGATACCAGGGAGGCAGTGCATGGCTTCCTGCTTCTTCCTGCTGAAGCAATTTGATGATGTCTTGATTTACCTCAACTCATTTAAGGTCAGTCAGCTGTATGTAATGTGTCTGAGAAATAAGATGCTCTCAAAACTGGCCCTGTTCCTGTGGGGAATTAGTGGCATCAGCTAATTCCTTAAGATTGTTTTTGTGTTTATCTGGTGTAACTGATGTTTTTATGTTTTATATGTTAATGCTCAATGTGACCTGTTTTGAGGCTGTTTTTCAGAGTTACTTCTACAATGATGACATCTTTAACTTTAATTATGCACAAGCCAAAGCTGCAACAGGCAATACCAGCGAGGGTGAGGAGGTGGGTACCTGCTTTTGAAAGCATCTGCATGGTTCTGTCTGGAAACATCCTTGCTTGTCTTTTTCTCACTGAAATAAAATGGTCAAGGGTAAAAGATTATTAGAGGTTCCTTTGTTCTTAGGTCACATTAAAAACTACAATGTGAATAAACATACAGATTTTATCACCCTATTAATCATATTACATGTTTTCCCCTTTTTTTTTTTTTGTAAGTTTTATGGAAGTATAACATACGTGCAGAATAGTGTACAAATCATAAGTACATAGTCTAATGAATTTTCATGAAGTGAGTATACCCATATAATCAGTACCCAGATCATGAAACAGAATGTTATCAGAACCCTATTTATATTTCTGTTCTCTTCTCCTTTTGAGTGACTACCCCTCCCCGCAAGGCTAACCACTATCCTGAGTTCTAACTCCATAGCTTGATTTGTCTGAATTTGAAATGTATATACATGAAATCATACAACATATACCCTTATATATGACTTCTTTGGTTCAACATTGTATTTGTGAGATTCGTCCACGATGAAGTTCATCCATGTTGTTGCTTGTAGCTCTTCTTCATTCATTCTCATCACTGTATAGTTTTCCACAGTTTTAATCCATTCTCCTATAAATTGACATTTGGATTATTTCCAGTTATTGGCTGTTAGAAATATTGCTACCACGAACATTCTTGTATGTGTCTTTTGGTGAATATATGTATGCATTTCTATTGGCATGTAACTAGAAGAGGAATATGCCCAATACCGATTGCCAGTTTGTATGGTATGTGTATGTTCAGCTTTAGTTCATATGGCCAAATAGTTTTCCAAAGTGGTTGAACCAGCTTACACAATACCAGCAGTATATGAATTCCAATTACTCCACATCCTTGCCAGCACTTGGTATTGTCTGTGTTTTTGTTTGAGCCATTCTGGTGGATGTGTAGAGGTTTTATATTATAGATTTAGGTTGCATTTCCCTGATTACTATGTTTTTTGCCTACTGGCTATTCTCTTTTATGAAATCCCCGTTCAAGTCTTCTGCCAAAGTGATTTACCTTTTCACTTTCTTAGTGTTGTCTATTGATGAGTAGAAAATTTAAATTTTTATGTAATCTAATTTTAAAATGTTTTCTTTTATGAATAACAACTTTTGTATCCTGGTAAGAAATCTTTGCCTATGTAATATAAAAAATTCATTGCTGTCGAGTCGATTCCGACTCATAGCAACGCTATAGGACAGAGTAGAACTGCCCCATAGGATTTCCAAGGAGCAGCTGGTGGATTTGAACTGCTGACCTTTTGGTTAGCTCGACAACCTGAGCTCTTAACCACTGGGCCACTAGGGCTCCACCTATTTAATATACTTACGTTTTTTATTATCTGTCTCCTCTAGCTAGAATGTAAGTTTCCTAAGGACAGGGATTTTTGTCTGTTTTGTGCACTGATGTATCCAAATGCCTAGATCAGTATCTGATTCTTAGTAGGAATTCAGTATATTTTTGTTGAATGAATATATAAATGAATCAATCCGTCAATCTCCGTAACATAATGTTGAGTATAAAAAAAGTTGCAGAAGAATATATGTAGTATGATTTTATTTATATAAAGTTCAAAATCACAAAACTGAAAGGTACCGTTTAGGTGTGCAAATACGGTAAACAATAAAGAAACTAAGGGAATTGTAAACACATGCTTCAGATAGTGTTCTTTCCGAGAGGGGCAGTGAATGGGATGGGAGTGGAGAGGAACATCCCAAAGACTTCAAAAGTAACAGTAATTTTTTTTCTCTTAAATTTAGTGGTAGGTACACAATTATTCATTGTTTCTTGCTCTTTATTCCTACTTGTGTTTTATAATCTTTTCTATATTTTCAATATTTTATTTAAAAAAATTTTTTTAAAGAATATCATTCATGACAGCTATTCAGGCTTGTAAAGGTATGTTACAAAGCACATTTTTTTTTTCTTTTTATCTGAACTCTGACTAAAACACTCCATTATAGCTCTCAGGTACTTCTGAGCACTTTCCAAAGTTGACACAGAGGTAATTTTATTTTACTTAACTCTGGTATTACCAGCTTCCCATGGCCTCCCGTGGGACTCCTGTTGTTAGAGAGCTTACACCTTAAGGAAATGTTTGCATTGCTGGTGATACTTTCTTTAGAGTGGTTTCAGGAGCATATTAAAATGTATATTCAAAGAATTATTTGAAACGACTTCCGTAGGGAGAACGCTCCAGGTGTTGTTAGGAGCTGCAAAGAGTGGCAGAGATTATTTTGTTCTTTAGTATAGAGAATATAGACTGTGTCACTATCTCCTCTGATTTCAGACACTTCACTTTTCAGCAGCCTCAACATTGAAACCATAACTCCAACCCAAAATAAAATGTAAAAAAGACTCTGGCTATCCAATACCGCTCTCTCAAAGCTTACTTCTGAAGCTGTGTACATAACGGGAAGGCTAAGCCCTTGAATATTTGTTCAGCATTGATTTTCTCTGGTTAAAATATGAAGCCTAACCTGAGGTCGTTGAGTTTCTTAACCTCACGCATTTTTAAAGCAATAAATAAGAGCTCCTGCAATCTGCTTCTAAGAAGAAATATATTTATTCAGTAAATCAAGCATTTACTACGTGCTGGCACTGTGGATAACCATCAGTAAGACAGATATAGTCCCTGCCTTCAAGGAGTTTACAGCATAGAGGAGACAGACGTTAAATAAATATTTGGTAGAGTGATGTAGTGGCGAGAGGGCCGCTGGCAGCAGAGGAGGAAGTGAGATGCCTAGAAACAGTGTAGGCATTGTGCTGTTGTATCTCAGTGTGAAAGTGGATGCTCGTGATGATGACCTCAGTTCAAAAACAAGTTCAGTAATGCTCAGTAACTTCCGGTTAGGAAGATAAATTTTTGATCCCATTTGTTTGAAAAATATGTGTCTGTTTGCATATTATTAAGAGTTCTTAAAGGATATGTAAAGAATATTCATAGTGGTGACCTCACGGGACTGAAAAACAGCAGTGAAGAAGGACTTTTTCTTCACATCTTCCTTTTGCGTTTGAATCTTTTGCCAAGAGAATGTATTGTTTTTTTAATTTTTTAAATATTCAAAAATGCAAGAAAAGATACTTAGATTTTCACCAAAATAGTCAAAATGTATTCAGAGTTTGAGAATTTCATGAGCCAAGCCATAGTTATTTTATTTCTAATATTTCATACTCCAGTAATACTGGATAGATAACGTGTACCATGTGTAAGTTGAGAGTCTTAAACTTAAGTATATTTCTGATGTTTTCATTCTTATATTCTGAGTTATTTCAGGGTTTACTTTCCACCCTTCCTTTTTCTTACAGACTTTATAGGATTTAGTCATCGGGGGTGTTGTGTGCCTTCAGGTGGATCCCGACTCATGGCGGCCCTATAGGACAGAGTAGAACTGCCCCGTAGGGTTTCCAAGGCGCTAATCTTTATGAAAGCAGACTGCCACATCTTTCTCTCGCAGAGTGGCTGGTGCGTTCAAACCACAGGCCTTACAGTTAGCAGCCGAGTGCTGAACTAGCGTGCCACCAGGGCTCCTCTTTGTCATCCACAGGCTACATTAATCATCAGTCTCAGGTAAGCCGATAATACACGTTTTTATCACGAAAGCATCTTCATGTTCATTCTCTTTCTTTCCTCTTCTTGCAGGTGTTTCTCCTGATCCAAAGTGAGAAGTTGAAGAACGATTACATTTACCTCAGCTGGTTAGCTCGGTGCTGTGAGTCTTCTTTTAAATATTACAGGGAAATCGTTTTTCTTCTCTGCTACATAATCTTGTGGATGGAAATTACATTGACCATTTTCTAATTTTGCTTTATAGACAGAATGAGTAAGCACTGAAGTTAAGTGTTGTTAATATACTCAGTCAGGGTCGCGTTACACGGTGTTGTAAAAGTTTACCCTGTGATTAGTTCTACCAAATGCCATTGGCCTAGCACTTACGGACTGGTAGTTCTAAGATGCCATGCTCTTCCTTCAGGCCTGTTGAAGTTGCCAGAGTGTCAGTTGGCAGTGGGCTTTGTGAGATGATACCGTTACATTAATTTTACCATTTCACTGTGATGCAGGCCTGAAAAGTGGCAAAATGCCAAAAACATACATGTTTTGTCCGTTATATAGCCTGCGATTTCTCTCTTTCTTGTTCCCTCTTCCTCTCCCTCTCTTCTTTCCTTTGTTTATGTTACTCAGATTTAAAGTGCTCACTGAGTTTTTGTGGTCACAGGAAGACTTTAGCACTCAGCTGTTCTAAGGGAGGTTAAACTTTCTGAGTAGGAGTGGATGAGTGACTGGTGTCCTCTTTTAGGCGCGTGAGCAAAATGCGAACTACTGGAAATCAGCGCAATCTAAACAGACATAATTTATGTGGAATCCTAACTTAGATACTTCACATATGGTAGAATTCTGCTGGGAAACCAGCTTTACCACCAGCATTGTAAGCTCTCCAAGTATGATGTATTCTACCATTACTTTGTGTATCTGCAGTGTAGAACCAAATCCACAGACTAGCAAGATATAGAAGTGTCTGTCTTCTACATTCAGAAGGCAAAAGTCTTTGTTTCTTTCTGTAGATATCATGAATAAGAAACCAAGACTGGCCTGGGAACTTTACCTCAAGATGGAAACCTCCGGCGAGTCCTTCAGCCTCTTACAGCTCATTGCTAACGACTGCTACAAGGTGCATCTGAGTGAGACCAGTGTCACACCGCTGTGCTGGCTAAATCTCAGCGAAGAGGGTCCTGGAGACTACGTTTACGCTTCTGGGGAGGGGATTGTCCTTTTATGAATGAACCGACCTCAGACTTGGGCAGCCTTTCAGGTTTCATATGTGTGTGAATAATGGCTTAGAGAGAAGGTTTCAGATCTCTGAAGAACGTGAGTCTTCGGTACCGTCCAGGCAGAGATACACATCTGGTAGTTGGAAGTTTGGTTCCGAAGCTTAAGATTGCTGTCTAGAGACAGAGACTGGGAGTCCTTAGCCTTTGAATAGTAATTGAAGCCCTGGAAAAAAGTGAGATTACCCAGGAAAAGAAAAGAAGTGAAGGGAGAAGAGCAGGGGGTTGCAAACCACACATTGGGGAGTACTAAGGTACAGATGGTAGACAGCAAAGGCAAAGAAACCGAAAAAGGGAATAAAAAAGCAGTCAGCTTTAGTAAAGGGCTGGCTCTGTGTGTGTGTGTGTGTGTGTGTGTGTGTGTGTGTGTGTGTGTGTGTGTGTGTGTGTGTGAGCGCGCGGGCACGTGTGCGCGGGCGCGTGTGTGCGTGTGTAGGGAGTTGGCTAAGCAAGAAGGCGAGGGGAATTGGGTCCTGTCCTATAGATTGTTGTTGTTAGTTGCCATCAAGTCAATTCCGACTCATAACGACCCCATATGTGCAGAGTAGAACTGTGCTGCAGAGGGTTTTCTGGGCTGTAATGTTAACAGAAGCGGATCACCAAGGCTTTTCTTCTACAGTGCTTACTACCGGGTAGGTTCGAACTGCCAACCTTTAGGTTATCAGTCGAGCGGAAGCTGTTTGCACCACCCAGGAACCTTGTCTTGTAGATTAAAAGCTTTTAAAACATTCGCTTCAGGCATGGAGGAATTCTGGCACGTGCCTACACACACGCACATTGTGCCAGTGTCAACTTCCTGGGTTTGATATTGTGATAGCGTGCTATGGTTACGTAAGATGTCACCATTGGGAAAACTGGTGAAAGGTACTTGGGACTTCTCTGTTCTAGTTTTGCAACTTCATAAGCATCTATCATTATTCCAAAATAAGTTTTTTAAAAAATGAACCAACCAGAGCTATATCCAACAGTCTAGATGACTCTCATAACGTTAATGGAAGCAAGACAAAGACTATCACATAGATCAAGTTCTAAGGGAGGCAAAGCTCAGGCATATTGTCTAGAGGTGTATGCATACTTGATGAAACCATAAAGTCAATGACCTGGTGGCCGTAAAAGTGGGAGTAGTCGTTACTCTGGAGGGGAAGGGGCGGGTGTGGCCTGGCAGTGACACAGGAGAGCCTCTGTTTTGCTATCAGGGGTTCGTTTCTGTTTCTTGACCTGGGGGGTGGTTGCACTTACATTGGCCTTTTAATTAGTCATTGATCTGTGCAGTTGTGTTTATGCACCATTCTGTATGTTATTTCACAATAAAAAATATTTTTAAGAGAACATAGGAAAAGGACTGACCTTAAAAGCGAAGAACACCTTTTGCCATGAGGTAAGGAGCCCTGGTGGCACAGTGGTTAAAGCACTCGACTGCTAACCGAAATGTCGGCGGTTCAAAACCACCAGTGGCTCTGTGGGAAGAGGATGTGGCAATCTGCTTCTGTAGAAATTTACAGCCTTGGGAACCGTATCGGGTTGCTATGAGTCGGAATCGACCGACAGCAGTGGGTTTGGTTTTGGTTTTGGTTTTCCTGTGAGGTGGGCAGAAAGGATGAATGAAGGTATAAGTAGGATTTGAGCTGAAGGGAGGAAAGCTCTGTTTTCCCTGTGAAGTTTAGAATAAAGCTAAGCCAAGAATGCAGTTGAAGTCTCAAGAGATTAGCAAAGGTTTAGAACAACAGTTGACAGGAATGGAGAAGTTAACTAAACCACACTGAGTAAAAAAGATTGCCTAACAGTTTGAAGCCTTCAGCAAAATTGGTAACATTATACATTTATGATGTCCATCAGGAAAAGTCATCTATAGTGCAAAGGACTAATGGACCACAAGTACCACAGCCTCCACCAGACTGAGTCCATCACAACTAGATGGTACCCAGGTACCACCACCGACTGCTCTGACAGGGATCACAATAGAGGGTCCCAGACAGAGCTAGAGAAAAATGTAGAACAAAATTCTAACTCACAAAAAAAAAGACCAGACTTACTGGTCTGACAGAGACTAGAGAAACCCTGAGAGTATGGCCCCCGGACACTCTTTTAACTCAGTACTGGAGTCATTCCTGAGGTTCACCCTTCAGCCAAAGATTAGACAGGCCCATAAAATAAAACGAGTAAATGGGTACACCAGCCCAGGGGCAAGGACAAGAAAGCAGGAAGGGACAGGAAAGCTGGTAATGGGGAACTCAAGGTTGAAAAGGGGAAAGTGTTGACATGTTGTGGGATGGGCAGCCAATGTCACAAAATGATATATGTATTAATTGTTTAATGAGAAACTAATTTGCTCTGCAACCTTCATTTAAAGTGCGATAAAAAAAAATTGAGGCTAGCTTTCATAGGTGAAAAAAAAGAAAGAAAACTCATCTAAGCAAAATTTAATTGTATTCAGCGTGCTCTACAAGGCCATGGAAATGTGTAGTATATTTGGGAAAGATGTCTATCAAAATAAAATTAAGTTATTTTGAAATTAAATGTTGAAAAGATTTAGTTTAGTAGGCGATCTGGGAATTTGGGAACAAGTTCAGGGAAAAAGCACCCTCTCAGGTTGAACCTGATCAAATTAGCAAGGAATGAGTGATGGTAGTCATTTATAGAATGTGTTGAGGGGACTTGAAAATATCCAGTTTAAATCACAGTCATCAGAGTTTGTCCCAGGATTAGAATATAATTAGAAGAAATGATGAACGTGTTGATTACAGCATAACTAGACTATATGTAGAAAAGATGTTATACTATTGAAGACAGAATAGTTGAAGGTAAGCTGACTTAAATAGAACTCATGAACCAAAATGGAAGTTTTCCTTTTTCTTGTTTTAATATGGAGCTGGGATCTATCTAATTTGCTAACTGAAAATGTTGTCGTTACCCATGCACTTGTTTCACACAGTTCTGTTTCGTGGTGTCTTTATGTTTGGTTTCATTCTATCCCATCTTTTGGCTACAAGTATCACCCCAATACCTTCCTTTATGCAGATGGGCCAGTTTTACTATTCAGCCAAAGCTTTTGATGTCCTCGAGAGACTGGACCCCAACCCTGAGTACTGGGAAGGCAAGAGAGGTGCCTGTGTGGGCATCTTCCAGATGATCTTAGCTGGCAGAGAGCCCAAGTAAGTGAACAGGCAAGAAACCTGCCTCTATTCATTTGCTGGTTTATGGGGGGATGTCATTGTTTTCTTGGATGACATCTTCCGAAAAGCCGAAATTAGAATGATGTTTTAGAGTGATGAATAAAATGTTAAGATGTTATATTTTGTTATTTGATCTTTTTCCTCCAGAGTGTTTTTTTACTTTGTAGAATCAGATCACTCTAAATCACAGATACTGGAGGCACTGAATATACTACAGCTCTCAGATCAGAGCAGGGTGCACATGTGGCTCCATTTTTATGAAGTCTTTTTCACTCTCTTCTCCTCTTTTCTTTGCCTGTTGGCTTTTTCTTGTATCTTTTAATTTAGGCCTCAAAGAATTCAGAATGGAGTAGATGTGCCATTAGCATAGAGGGTTGATAATTCATTTTTTTTTTTTTTTGCCTTCTCATCTTCCAGGAAATACTGAGACATTAGATTACATAGAATTAAGTGCCTTATAGCTCCATTTGTAACCAAAATTCAAACACTTAAAACTAAATTCGGTTTTCTAAAAATAACGTCATGGAATATATTTGTTACTGATGTATAAATAATAAATGTGATGATTTTCTCAGTAAATAATCTATCAAAAATGACTTTCTGCCTAATATCTAGTTCCAGTCCTGAAGAAAAGTTAAAAAGATTTGGTTAGGGGAAAGAGGTTACTTGAGGGAATAAAGAAGTAGAGAATAGGAGAGGATCTTCGGGAAGAGAGGGGTCTGCTAAGGTAATAGGGAAGGTTTAGCATGCAAAGTAGAGGGTCAGCGAAGAGGAGAAGGGCCCTCAACGGGATGGACTGACACAGTGGCTGCAACAGTGGGCTCAAACACAGCGGTGACCGTGAGGCTGGCGCAGGGCCGGGCGCTGTTTCATTCTGTCGTATGTAGGGCCGTATGAGTCACCATCGACTTGATGGCACACCTAACAACAACAACTTAAAACATAAGTTTTAATTTAATTAAATTAATAAGAAAAACACAGATTTTGGGCATTTGCCAAATCTTAGTCCTTAACTCTCCTCTTCCATATTTATTAATATTTTACTTCCCTTGGAGAAATCCTCCATTCCTCTGGCTTTGTGAAATTGTATAAATACGATAGTGACAGCCAGTATGCAGAGACTGCCTTAATGAAATGAGAAGTCTGACACTCAGATGACTTAAGTGACTTGTTAGTGACAGAGCTAGAGTTTGAACCCAACTCTCTCAACTCCTAGATATACCCTCTCTCTCCTCTGTCATGCAGACTGAGCATGGAAATGGGGATTTAGGCCATATCAGAAGGACAAGCAGATTCATGGTAGATGGAGCGGTAGCGTAAGTAAACAAGAAGCACTTGGATTGTGAGAAGGCTTTCACAGAATTTCCATTTCCTATGCCACTCTAAGCCCAGGAGGCTGGCAAGTTTATCACTGGCTTATGAACACACCGTGGAAGAGTCTTTTACAAAAAAAGTCCTAGTAGAAGTCTATGAAGAACAGTTTAAGAGTTCATTTCATTTGTTAATTTTCATTCTTTATTGAAACGCTTTGCTTTTCTAATTGTCTCCTCAGAGAGACCCTCCGAGAAGTGCTGCATTTACTGCGGAGCACAGGTAACACCCAGGTGGAGTACATCATCCGGATCATGAAGAAGTGGGCCAAAGAGAACAGAGTGCCTGTCTGAAGTAGCATGAGGCCAGAGAGCCAGGCAGCACTGGAGTGCCAAGTTGGAACCCAAGTGTAATGCAAGACGCAGGGCTCTCTTTTGCTGGCCTTGGCCTTCCTTGCTCTCCAGGCCTCAAGGTCACCACTGACTAGCTCGGACCCGCCTCCCAGCTGAACCAGGAGCCTCAGCCTCAGCCATGGCCCTGGGTGGTCCTACCAGCAATAAGACCTTGGACTTCCCTGGTGCCTTCCTTCCAGAAACGCTCCAAGCACTCTGATACAATTTACTGACTTTAAGGAGAACAGCATAACTTTCCTTTATATTTGTGCTTCCTGGTGTTTCCTCCTAGCTGCAATAACAAATGTCTTTGACCCTCAAGGGTCACCACCATTCTGTCATCTTATTTTTAGCCATTCTGTACGTTATCCTGTCTTACTGGGGAGTTCCGTAAACAGTTTTGTAATGCGTCTCTGAAACCTGGGAGAACGGAGGCTATCACTAGCGATAACTAGCCGTGTGTTTGGAAGCATGGCGGTGAGATCCTTTATCAGAGTGTCGGCATCAGTGGATTTACACGGTTCCTCTTCTGTAATGGGATTAGTGGTGATAAGACCATGTCGCGGTAGAGTAAGATGGGGGTTGCAGTTTTTACAAAGGTGAGTTCTGTGGAAAAAATCTGATACAGTGGCTAAAAGTATTCAGGAAACAGAGTATACAGATCTCATTAGTCACTTCTCCATATGTTTTAGGTAACTCCAAGTATCCTAGGTAACTCCTCCATATATTTCAGGTTAGGTTTTTTTCCTAATGTATCTTGCTGAGTAAACATCAGTTTTGGAAGTAGGGCCACAAAGATGATACAGGTGCATTTATGGCCGTTAATGTGATGACCTAGAACGTGAATGGGATAGAGCCCATGGAGGGGCCCCTCGTGGCCAGACTCCCCGTCCTGAGTTGTCTTCCAGCCCGTGTTTCCAAGTTCTCACAGCATAAACCTTCTCTACAACTCACCAGTTATTTTCAGAAAACACTCACATGTCTTTATGTACCAGATTACCTTTGTTTCTACACCACATTGGTTTTGTTTGTTTATGTTTATTAGTTCAGGGTGTACAGTGGGACAGGTCTAGAAAGTGCAGAGCCATCCCCATGTAGCAGAGAATGGACGGGAAGAGAAACGAAAGCGTGTTTGTAATTCCTCGAGGCACTGAAGACAGAAGAACTCTTGTAAGCACTGCATCAGGGATCCCACTTACTCCCCAGCGTCCTCCTGCGGACGAAGAAGTTGTATAGAGCGGAGATGGGGACGCCGTGAAGTTGTATAGAGCGGGGATGGGGATGTGGTGGGGTCAGAACGGCCAAGGAGGGAAGATGAAGGTTCTGGAGACAGCCGTGGCCTGGACAGTTGTGATGGGGGCTTGCGGCTCCACTCGGGAAGGCAGCCAGCTTTCTGCCTTTTAACTCAGACCCCGATCTGACCAGTCCAGAGCACAAGTCAAAATGAGTCGGCCTTGCTTGCTTGCTAACTAGACAGCAATGCTACGTCACTTTTCATATGCCAGAGCTTCTCTTTCCTCATTATACTGCTCCTACTTTTTTAATAATTACTGGTTCTCAGCATTTCAGGTACTAGGTGGGTCAGCTCTGGGCAGGACCTGCTGTAATGTCTAGAATACTTCTTGTGATTCTTACTTACCTCGGTTAGAATATTAGCAGACACAATCGTGGAGAAGACAGAGGGGTCCCTCGGTGGCTGTAGCAGTGAGATTTGTCTCCCAGTGAATTCTGTCGTTTTCAAATTCCTGAAGCTTGGAAAGCTTTACCAGGGATGGCAATTTACTTTTAAATGAGCTGTTATGGAATTTAACACGCTGGACCCTCAAGACTTAATTTTCCTGTCTCTCGCACAGAAACAGGTGTTCCAAAAATAGCAATTCCCAGAATATTAGACCATTTTTTAAAAAACTTTTTAATCTATAGGATTGAGCCAAAAACCATAGACACTAGAGAGAGACATCCTCCACTTCTGTTGTTATTAAGGATAGCTGCTTCTGAAGTGTCTTGACAGGGTCTCAGAATTGCAGGGCAGCCCCTCACGCTGTGGTTCTTACCCGTGATGACGTGAGGGAGAGAGGACAGTCCAGGCTTAGGGCTGAATGGTAACGTACAGTTCATAGCATCAATGCACCGTTTATAGTTTGTAGCATACATTACTTGCAAATGGAAAAAAATCTTTTATAATTATTTTTGTACTTCAAAAGAATTATGCTGTAATATATTCAAATTAAAGTTTATTATTTGGTTCTTATTATGGTTGTGTCATGGATTGAATTATGTCTCCCCAAAAATGTGTGTATCCGTTTGGCTGGGCCATGATTCCCGGTATTATGTGGTTGTCTTCCATTTTGTGATTGTAATTCTGTATTAAAGAAGATTAGGGTGGAATTGTATAACACCCTCACCCAGGCCACATCCCTGACCCAATGTAAAGGGAGTTTCCCTAGGGTGTGGTCTGCACCACCTTTTATCTTACAAGAGATGAAAGGGAAGTGGGCAGAGAGTAGGGCACCTCATACCACCAAGAAAGCAGCGCTGGGAGCAGAGTATGTCCTTTGGATCCGGGGTTCCTGTGCCTGAGAAGCTCCTACACCAGGGGAAGATTGATGAGAAGGACAGAGAAAGCCTTCTCCTGGAACTTACACCCTGAATTTGGACCTTTAGCCTACTTTAGTGTGAGGAAATAAACCTCTCTTTGTTAAAGCCATCCACTTGTAGTATTTCTGTTAGAGCAGTACGAGTTAACTAAGGCAGGTTGTCTGTTGATGTGGTGAGAGAGAGCCCTGGGTACGTCATTACCCCTTCTCCCCTTTCTTTCCTGGCATCAGAGTACAGGGAGAACCAAACTTGCAGGCCTCACAAGTAAGATAAAGTAGAGATTCCTTAAGAAGTCTTGGCCACCTAGAGGCCCATGCTTCCTGCTGGATCACAGTGGGTTTGGCTCTTTGCTGAGTGACGGCCCTTCTAGAAGTTGTGTGGCCAGTGCAGGGCACGCCGCCTGGCACACACAAGCTCTCGGATACTTGCTGACCGGACCAGTAGAGCAGGGGACCTGTGAGACCTGACGCGGGTGTTCTGGTTCCCACCCAGTTCTTGTTTAATGTGTGCCAGTCACATGCCAGGTACTGCGGATGCACGGTCCCAGCCTCAGGGCACTGGTCCAGCAGAAGCATACACAAGAGCCCCTGATGGCCTGGGACTGGTGTCATCAGAAGGGACAAGCATGGAGAGGGAAAAGAAAGCAGTGGCGATGTTCGTTCCCATGTCAGTGGGACACCTGTGGCCTCACCTGGAAGAAGCAGTCCAAGTGGATCCTGAAACGCGACAGCGAGCGGGACACCGAGGCTTCTCCAGCACGCGGCACACGCAGCTGACCTCCAAGCACACAGGAGCTCTCCTCCCGTACGCAGTGGTGCGCTGGCAAAGCTGCAAAGCGAGGCATTCCATCACAATGGTTACGTCATGGATTGAATTATGTCCCCCAAAAAAGTGTGTATCAGTTTGGCTGGGCCATGATTCCCTTATTGTGTGGTTGTCCTCCATTTTGTGATTGTAATTTTACATTAAAGAGGATTAGGGTGGGATTGTAACACCACCCTAACCCAGGTCACATCCCTGATCCAATGTAAAGGGTGTTTCCCTGGTGCTTCTCTTGTAAGAGATAAAAGGAAAGGGAAGCAAGTGGAGAGTTGGGGACCTCATACCACCAAGAAAAAAGCACCGGGAGCAGAGCACGTCCTCTGGACCCAAGGTTCGCGCAGAGATGCTGCTAGTCTGGGGGAAAACTGATGATGACGAGGACCTTCCTCCAGAGCCGACAGAGAGAGAAAGCCTTCCCGTGGAGCTGACGCCCTGAATTTGGACTTGAAGCCTACTAGACTGTGAGAAAATAAATTTCTCTTTGTGAAAGCCATCCACTCACGTTGTGTCTGTTAGAGGAGCACTAGATGGCTGACAGGTTATATCTACTCTGTACAGGCAGAAATGGACCAGTGATGCTGTAGTTCCTAGATGCAGGACTCTCAATCTGACTCAGAAATAGCCATCTCTCATGTCTCTTCTTCATCCTATAAAATACATATACTTTTGAAGATACCTCAGACTTAGAGATGGTCTCAGAGAAGCAGAGCTGGAGGCCTGCCACCGGCGCCTGTCCCCCCGCAACTCAGGACTGCAGGGACAAGTGAAGGATACGAGGGCACGGAGTGAAATGCTCCCAGATACAACCAGCTGATGTGCGCGTGTTGACTGTGGAGTCTACAGGCAGGTTTGCAAAATATTTGACATCAAACCCCTTTCTTCAAATAAAATCTGAATTCCAAATTCACCAGGGGCTGCTCCTGTGGTAGGGGTGAAGGAGCATCGAGGAAGGAGGCAGGTCCACCACTCAGGCGGCCCCTCTGAGTGTGACACAGTGTTCAGTCCTCAGATAGAGGGCAAGTGCCCTGCCAGGATAGCCTGGGACCATGGGGAGCACAGAGCTGGGTGTCCACAGCATAAACTTTGGGTGCATTTGGTCTGACATTTACCATCTATTTTGTCTATTCAGCCATATATCTTCTTTGGTCGGTTAGTTATATCCTACCTTGTTCCAGAAAGGATTTGCGGTACTTTACCGAAATGCATATAACATAGTATGGACAGAAGGCATTAAGAGTAAAGGAAGGTGTGCAGGAAAGGAAAGGTAACCATAACACCCTTCATGGCTCAGCTGTAAAAAGCATTTATATCATCATAAAACTGTAAGCAGTGAACAGTGAACCAAAAATTGATCCAACTGTATTAGCAGGATGAGGATGGGAAGTGCCCATGTGTGGTAAGTGTGTGTGTGTGTGTATGTGTGTGTGCGTGTATGAGAGAAAGAGCTGAATCCTCAGATTTCATTGCAATAGATAACGTCTAAAGTTTAGTGCTGAGACTCAGTGGAGGCAAAGCTGAGAATCCCAGAGACCAGCTGTATTTGTAGGAAGCCCTTTGTCCCTATAGCAGAGAGGACGTCGCTGTGAACAGCTCCGCAGCTGCTCATTGCAGGAGATGGAGAAAAGTGCGTGCAAAACCCTGAGTAAATCCATGCCAGGTGGGAACAGGGCCCTGGGGCCTACATGCATAGCCGTCAAAACAGCTCGTCCAGAGAACTCATCTTCCTCAAAGACCAGTAACCAAAACACACAAACTAGCTTCTGGTTAACCCAAAAATAAAAATTAACACAAGGAAATAAAACGAAAGAAAATCAAATGGTTGACAAAGACTATCAGTAGAAAATTGGTGACATGAATATGAAAGTTGTAACCAAATATTTAACTCCGACCAGGAAGCAGTGTTAGCACGTTGCTTTCTCATCTTTAAGATACAATTTAACAGCGATAAGCAGTGCAGCTCCCTGGGGGGTGCAAACGATGAGCGCTTCCGGAACCCGCAGAAAGGTCGGCGGTTCCAACCTACCCAGAGGGGCCTTGGAAGACAGGCGTGGCCATCTGCTTCTGAAAGGTCACAGCCTTGTAAACCCTTGGGTGTGCAGTTCTGCTCTGAAACACATGGGGTCGCCATGAGTCAGAATCTGCTCAGTGGCAGCTAACAACAATGACAAATCAAGTAATAGGTATGTAAGTGTGTTTTACAATACCAAGTTAGACACAACAGTGTAGAGAAAGAGAAAATACCCAAATTTAATTGTTGCTCATAGCACGGAATTATAGACAATGCCCAAAGAAATTGAAGATTAAGGGCATTATAAAATCCCAGTAGAACAAAAATATGAACTTCCCGAATTATCAGAAGTAACATACACAAAACAAAGCAAACAGATCACTCGTGGAGGATTTTTTTTTTTTAAGGTTTGAAGAGAAAGCATGACAGAAAATAATGTGACAGATCTATGCTCAGACATACCTCTCATGTCGAAATATGCAAATGGGCTTAACACACCTATTGAAAGAAAAAGATGGGCAGATGGCTCACAAAGCAAAACCTAACTCTGTGCTCTTACACCACTGAGAACAAAACAATGCGTAAGTGTGGACAATAGAAGGATGGCAATGGTACCAGGAGGCAGCTGCAAGTGAAGAGAGAGCAGGTGTCACAATCGAACAGGTTGTTTCCAGGCCAAGACCATTAGGCAGATCAAAGAAACACGTTCTGAATGATAAAGAGTCCTTTTCTCCATGAAGGTAGAACCATTATTCATATGTGACAAAGACAAGAGCATCAATGTTCAAAAAAACAAAAATCATAGGAGTTGCAAGGACAGCGATAGTAGAAGACTGCAGTTGCAGTTCATGACAGCCGAAAAAAAAGTAAGGAAAGCTAATAGGTAAATACCACAAACAATAAGGAGTAGCCTACCAATATGGCTCCTACCTTGAAAACAGAATATACCTCCTTTTCAAGGAACGTCAGTAAAACTGTTTGTGAGGCCATCAGTACACAGTAAAACCGACTGTGCGTTAGACCCCAAAGGAAATAACATCAAACTCTGCACGAGCCACTCTTCAAAATACTTCACGTGTATCGGCTCACTAGATCCCAACAACCACCTTATAAAGCGTGTGTATTAGCCCATGTTGTAAGTGAGAAACTGAGGCATAGAACGTTTACATCACTTGCACCAAGGTCGCGGAGCTGGCGAGCAGCAGAGCTGGAGCGTGAGCCCAGGCACTCTGGTACCCAGTCTGTGTCCTTAACCACTAAGCCAGAGACTCTTCAAAAACGTCCAAAAAAGAAAAGAACCAATGTAGGCGTTTTGGAAACACAATGCCAGTGAACTAGAAGTTACTAATAAAACCAGAAACCTAAGAATCCTGCCACCTGAAAAATTTAAAGAGAAGAAAACCAACCAACCAAAGTAATAAAAACAAAAACCCTATCTTGGGTAAAAGAAAATCCGAACTATCTCCGAACTGGATTAGAATTAAAACTCAGGACAATTGAAGGTCTTGAAGGCTTACATTAACATAAAAGAAAAATAAGAAATGAATGATTTAAGCACATTATCAAGAAGTTACTTAAAAAAAGCATTGAAATAAACCTAAGGACTTCACGAAGAAAAACTAACACGGAATTAATGAATTTAAAAATCGAAAAAGTCAAGAAGCTAACTTTTTGAAAAAAAACATTTAAACCAATAGAATAGATGAACCTTTATCAAACCCATCAGGGGAGTGGGGGGGGGAGAACATCAATACACAAAATATTACAG